GAGAGAGAGAGAGAGAGAGAGAGAGAGAGAGAGAGAGAGAGAGACAGCGACGCGACAAGTCGGTAAAATTTCGAGAGAAAGAAAGAAAAACTTGCTGGTCACCACGAAGTGTAAATACGAAATGTAGAGACGCGTCTGATAATGCGAGCTCACGTAATGGCACAGCCACAGTTCTTCCTAGTTAGATAGGGAGTCTTAAGTGAACGCGCAACCACCGGTATCGTGAATTATTTACACTCCACGCTTCCGGAATGCCTCGGACTCCGTCGCGGTTTCGCACCGGATTATAAATTAAGGGTGATTCACGCGGCGTTTCGCGGAGGATTTATCGCGGCGGGGGCAGACGAGGTGAGGGAGCCTCGAGGAGGCGACCGAGCCAGCGAAGGAGAGAGAAAATTGGTGTCACTTCGTTATCGCGTCGCAATAAATCAACCGGTCGATCCACGAGCGAGTCTCTATCGCGAGAAATATTTAATTGCCGCGCGTTAATTATCGCGCGTGTATTACGACATCGTGACAATTACGGCGCGACGGAGACGCGTGGAGGAAACAATCTTATCTTCGCTATTATCGTCACTATTCTGAGACTGCCGCATCGGAGATCGACCGAGGCTCCAGGAGTCCGCAAAGGGCCAAGGCGAACGCGCGCGTGCAAGGACGCTTTTACGTCAATAACAACGCTAATTCCTTATATCGTGTAGTTATATAGTAAATCTTGATGTCAATAACGATCGGTACTCGCGACAATCGAGGATCACAAGAATCATACACGAAAAAACAATTCTGTTGGTGCACAGAAAAAAAGATTTGGTTGAATTAACCAAATATCTGGTCGAATATGAACGATTCAGAAATTCCGATTGAAGTAACCCGAATTCTGTTTAAGTCAATCAAACATCTTGTTAACTTAAACAGAATTCGGGTTACTTCAATCGGAATTTCTGGATCGTTCGTATTCAACCAAATATCTGGTTAATTCAACCAAACTTTTTTTTCCGTGTGCAACCGAATTTCCGGTAGTTGTTTGTAGTAACAATAATTTCGTTTGTAGTTCCATCCATTAAAAATTACAGAAATTTAAAAAAATTAGTAGCACCCCATTTTGAGATATCTCAAATCTACAAGCGGGTGACGTTTCTAAATCGTTTTTAAATTGTTGTTAAATTGTTGTAACTGAACGGTTCGAATACAAACGAATGAAAATCACTACAAACAACTACAAACGATTTAAAAACGTCACCCGCTTGCAGATTTGAGATATCTCAAAATGAGGTGCTACTCATTTTTTTAAATTTCTATAATTTTTAATGGATGGAACTACAAAAATGTATGTAAGGTAAACGTGTACTGATAATTGAATTACTAATAATATACTTGTGTTTGTTAAGATGCTTATCAATAAATGAAACAAAATCACAAAGTAACTAAATATTTCTTTTCATTTATTATATTGTTTTGTATATTGAAAAGCATTTCAACAAAGAAAAATACAAAACCAATATGTCAATCATTGGGAACGAAATTATTGTTACTACAAACAACTACAAACAAAATGCTAACTTTTTACGTAGAAAAAAATTATTTTTTCAAAAGTCGAGTGCCAGGTTCACATAGCTATGCAAGTGTCAACGATAGTGTGACAACAATTCACGCTGTAACACGAACTATGATATGGTTGTCACAACCACACGGGCTCAGTTACGGAGGAATAGTCGAGATATATGCGGTACACGGAAAAAACAATTCTGTAACCGAATTTTCGGTTGCTCAGGGGCAGGTAAAAACTCGGCTGTAGGAACAGAAAAATTCCTTTATGAGACTTTAGTCAATTGTTCTCAATTGTCTCAACCGAGTTCTAATATCGTTGAATGTTCAGACGAATATTTTCGGCTGCAACAACAGAAATATTAATTTTTATAGCAGAGATATCGCTTCTGATCACCCAATTTTTAGTTGATTCCTATTTGGTTGCATTAACTGACATTTTTTCTGCGTGTACAGTAAATATAGCGAATGTTAAGTCACAAAACAATACAGATGCCCCAACACTTCGTACGGTGACTTTGCAATTTTAGTTGTCTTAGCCATTCTTTCCGTGTATAAAAACACAAAATTGTTTGAATCGAAATTAATTAGCAATCAAACGTCATTAATTGAATTCGTTGCGTGGATATAGGTGAGCGTTGCATATCAGACTTGGATACTGGTGGTTGTTAACGTACTACAGAATAACGAATGACACGCAGTACCTCTTTGCGCGACACTTTGTCTCTCTTTTTCTGCAGTGGCGCGGTACCTCCGCCTTGGTTTGCCTTCGACAGAACTTAGTTAACCTCCATCCCGTTAACGCTAACGCTAACGAGCTCCGCGTGGACCGATCTATTTCGACGCGACGAGAAAACCGTTCCGGCAGCGCCCGAGGTGCACGCTTCTCTGGACGCATCTCCACGGTGCAGTTGACCCCGGTGATGTGGGAAAGATGCCGAAGGAGTGATTTATCCTGCACGGACGCGCGTGAAAGCAGCAAATTGAGATGCTTCATCGATTCAACGTACTCTATTTTATTGCACATACTTTCCCGAGATCAAATTGCGAATAGACGAAACAAATATCAACGAGCACTGGATCGCGTCATCTGCCCTTTACAATTGGCCATAGTTATGTAAGAACGATTCACAATTATGATTTTATACTTTTCGTTTCTTTTTTTACCAATGTGTAGTAAGGTAAACGTCCCAGTGGTCGAACATACATTTCCCAATGATTGACATATTGGTTTTGTATTTTTCTTTGTTGAAATGCTTTTCAATATACAAAACAATATAATAAATGAAAAGAAATATTTAGTTACTTTGTGATTTTGTTTCATTTATTGATAAGCATCTTAACAAACACAAGTATATTATTAGTAATTCAATTATCAGTACACGTTTACCTTACATACATTTTTCTACATAAAACAAAAAGCTTCAGTGGCCGTTCAAAATTAATTAAAAAAACAATTTTTATTCTTTACTAGTTGCGTTATTGCGTGTCCACGCTGTTAAACTTGTCAACCAATACCCCCTAGAAAAAAAGAGAATTGAAATGTTTGGCTTCTTGAACGATCGGTGCTCTCTATTTTTAAATCGCGCACCAAACTTGTATCTTCATTTCTCTCGAAGGCTGCTTCATGTGAACTGAGTCATTCTTGCATAACTGCAATTATGAGACAAAGAGCTGTGTGGAAACGGGCGCGCGGCGGATGTTTAGTCGGACTGACTCCAATTTATTTGGGAATTTGCGGCCAGGCTCGCGCGTTTTTCCACGCGAGGTACACGAACCGGGTGTACAAGAACGAGAACGAGTAAGCACAGGGCACATCCGCGGCGTGTAAGCGCGCGCGCGCGCGCGCGTGTACTCGCGCGACCACACGCTCGCCGACCCCACCGCTTCCCGTGTAGGAGTAGAAAGTTGCTATTGTGCTGGGATCTGGTTTTATATAAATAGCCGCACTGCCGGCGGTCGCGAGCCGCGACTGCGTTTCTACCGAATGATACAATAATACCGCCGCCAGGTGAAAACCCGGGATGGCGCGAGCGAGCGAGCGAGCGGACGTTGCAATTGAGCGCGCTCGGCCCTACGCTGCCCTTTCCGATTTTTGCGACGCGCGTTTTGCAACCCGCTCGCAGGATATCTTTTTTTTCCTCTCCCCCGAGAGCGTTATTGCCGGCTCTCGCTGCGTCTCGCTGCGCTCCTGAAGAAATCGCGAGCCAATCGCGCGTACGCTTCGTGATCGTCGTGCAAACGACAACGCGATGCAAAATGAAGCCGCGCCGCAGTCGGTCGCAGTACGTCTCGCGAGGCTACTTTCGTACGACGCGTCCTCTTTAACCCCCCAAGTAGGCGGGTTGACTTATACGTAGGGGGAACCTGCCGAAATCGTGCCGACCTCCTAAATCGTGCTCCATCAATCGTATCCAATTTCTTCAAGTGTCCGTAGCACACAGAGTAAGATATAATCTGAAAATTTGTTGTTTCCACTTCTCATCCGAGCTCTACTAATTTCTCTCCTTCCTTTATGTTGCAGGTACGACACCACTGTACAAAAGATCAAGTGATTGATTTAGCGTAGCCGGCCTGTCGTTTAGGCACAATTAGCGTCAGTTGGCATAATGCCAACGTTTCACTCACGGTAACGTAGAAACCACATTATTACAGTCAGCCCGAGTCGAAATTTGGATCTTATCTTCGACCTCAATACTTCATTTAAAGTCTATTTTGATGCCTGTATCGAAGCTGTCTCGATTCTAAAGGCTGTATCAAACTGATTCTATCTCATCTACTAACTTCGCCGTTTTTTTTAGAACCTACAAGTGGCGTATTTTCTGCCATTTATAGTTAGTTAAATAGATTTTCAATTTCTGCGCGTGTCAAATATACACTGACTCTTCCAAATATATAGATATTAGAGAGTTGAGGTCGAAAATAGAGCTAAAATTTCGACTTGGGAACACGCCATATTCCAATGAAACGAAACTTCGCCGTGTTCCTCGGCTTAACGAACACTTCGATCCCCACTGATCGTTACATTATTCAAACGGATGGGGACAGGCATTCGTGCGCTTTCCTCGGGCACTACGGCGGCACCGAGCGCAATTCGCTGCCGCAAATAACTTAGAAATTCGCCGGGTAAAAGCGCGGCGTGCCGCGTCCGCGGTTTCGGATCACGACGAGAGGGCGAAACCGCGCTGCTCCAGCCGGATAATCCGTTCGAAGCGTGTCATCGATTTCCCTCTCGGATCGACGATCGTGCATCCTCCTTCGCCGCGACAAGACGCGCGACGATTAGAGGGAATTCACACCTTGGCGGGAAAGCAGAAAGACAAGAGCCAATCGGAACTCGCACTCGCGGCCACCAGAAGTGGTAATAGACGGTTTCTGCTTTCCTACCGGCCCGAGTTCTGATTGTGCCTTTCTGTTTTCTGCTTTTCTACTGAGATGTGAGTTTTCCCATAGAACCGTCACGTCGAGGCATATCGCGGCACATTCCTCGACTCTTCCCTCCTCTTGCCGATGTCATTTTTCGATCGAGTGTGCAATTTTGATTGCCGGACGTGAACTTGTCATCCGTCCGTCATCCGGAACGACGAAAAAGTCACGACGTCTGTCAGTCGCGAATTAATTTGCGTCGGCGATCGCCCGTCGCGGACGTCAAGCAGACGGACGTGCGACGACGAGCCGCATGGCGTTTCCCGCGATTCTCGTTTCACCCGTCCATAAAAATCGCGGCCACGAGAAAAAGCGACATCGGCTAGCCGCGAAATCGAATACTCCCGTTTGATCCAGCACGCGAGAGGAAATGAGAGGAGAGGCAGAGGAACAGAGGAGGAAAGCGTGGTTTGAGGGCGACGCGAGAAGGCGTTCGGGTGTCTCGCAAAGATGCGAGACGAATAATAAAAGGCAGAAAACACACGAGACGCGCAAGAGAAAAAAAGAAGGGCAACGTTTCGATCTCCGTTTGAGCGACACAAAGGAACCACTCCTCTACCCAGACAGTAATTCTGCGCGAGATCGGATCTTACGTGTGTCACGCTCTTTCATATAACGCGCGCGTCGCATCGTCGAGAGGACATTTCCCCGAGGAGAACGCGACTTTCGTCGGATAAAGCGGAAATTGAGCCTCAATTGAAACCTTCGATCCTTCCGATCGTAGGCGTCTATAACGTACGTGGAAAGAAAAGATTTTACTGCCGCACCTAATCATGATTTGCTGAAAATGTTTTGTCGCAACTAAAAATTTGCTGCTAAAACCTTTGCTACTGTTGCTTACTGCATCGGTTTCTCAGCTAACATATATCCGTTGCAGCTATACTTTTGAGGCTCATCTGCGATGGCAGTAAGAAGTAAGAATAAGAAATTGACCAATTACAATCGAATGTGAGAGGAATAATCAACTATAATCGGTTAATTTCTTACTCTTACTTCTCACAGCCTTTCGCTTACGACCACTGTAAATGGGCCTTTAGGCATCCATATGTTACAAACGAGCTTGGCAATCACGCACACACACATTCTTGCTGCCGCAGCTTGCTTTCTTTCAGTATGCTACAGAGAGTTGCAGAAATATCAATTAAATTTGCTCAACTCAATTATCAGTGGAATGATTTTTAATCGGATTCGTTGAAATTGATCAAACGGTATTCAATCAAATTTGTTGAAACCACTTGAACGATATTCAATTGAAAGGGTTTATATCAGTCGTCAGTTACAGCAAATACCGAATACTTGATTGATTCTATTTTAATCAAACTTTCATTCGGCGCATCAAATTTTCATTTCAACAACAAAATCCTTCTTCCGTGCACATACTTGCACACATTGTACATTATGCAATTCGTATATTATACTGGGATATTCAGGGAGTCAAGGCTCAAGTCTAGTATATTATAGATGTCCGTGATCGCACACCCCGGTTACCCCGATCGTTACCCTGAGCTGATTTTCCTCGTACGCTTATTCTATTTGCGACGCGACCGTATAACGGGCCTTCAACGAGCCGCGCTCGAGCTTGGCATTTAAATGCCGCGTTTTAACCGCGGTTTTTAAGAAACGATTTATTTACGGTTCGTGACGGGAGTGTGCGAGCGTGCGGTTTCAGCTGACGCATTCGCGAGTTGCAAGGTAATGCTCGGGCCGGGTAGAGAGGACGAGAGAGAGAGAGAGAGGAAGAGAGACAGATATTAATATGAGAGATATTAAATATCGCCGGATCCGCGACTCCACAAACGTCCAGTGCAACGTAACGAAAATTGTCAAGATAATTGCACCTTTCCGAGTCAAAATTTTAATCCTACTTTTCACTATTTTGATATTCTGAAACCTATGATATAATATAAAAGGTAAAAAGTAAAAATTGACAATATAACAAATAAAAGGAGTCTCTTTTTAGGATTTCAAATTATGTAAGCTGAAGTAAATAAATACTACTAATAACCAAAATTAATCAGTCACCAAAGTACAAAATCGCAAATAATTCCATTGATTGATGAAATTAATTACTAATCAAACTTTAATGCGATTGACTGTAGACGCTCTCTGATTATGGATTATATACAATCTATATATTATGTCTCTCTTTGATAAACCTCGCGTATATGTATAAGACAAATTGAACAAGAAATTCCATTTTGCAAACAACCACGTAAAATTTTGAGTTATTAATCAAAAAAAGATTATTAATTCGAGAAGATTGATGAATGATGGCGCCGCGTCTGCCGTCATTTCAGTTTTGATGACTGATTTGCCGGTTATTTTAGTCGAGAGAAATTTTTGTAGATGATTGCCCAACGTCGCTTTGCAGTCGTAAGATATCACCAAACCACTTATCTTTCCGATGTCTGTGTAAACTCTATAGAGAGAAACGAAGAAAAAAAAGAACTATACCTACACCTTTATCGATGGTCTGAAGAGTCGTCGATCGCCAGGTATGTTTCTACGCACGCACACGGAGAAACAGACACGCACACGCATCGACGAGAGGATGCGAGCAAAAGAGTTCTTATAGCCAGCGGCTAGGTCGTTTCTCGACCTTGCCGAGCGGGATTCCTCAGATGCGAAGAAGTTCGCCATTTTTATCGGTCACTTCCCCCGTCCTATCTCCTTTTATTGTTCCTCCCATTCTCGATCGGATTACGTGTAGAGTGAAGTGGCCGGATAATGCGCGGACGTTTTCTCGCGCAAACATGAACCGCGGGAAGCGAAGTCGAACTTCTCGTTTGAATATTTCATTGTCGTCGCGAGCCGCAGCGCGAATTAATATTTCCGCGCGAATCTCTCGCTCCGGCCGACCGATTGGTGCTTTCGTTTTATCGTCTTGTCGAGTATAAAATATCGGATGCCGAGGAGCGGCGATATTATCGCGAAATTCAATGCGATATTAATTCGCATGCGGAAAAGAACAAGGTTTAGTCTCAGCAAGTTTCCGGTAAAATATAAATAAACCAGAAACTCCGGTTGAATTTATCAGGATTCTGTTCGGTTAAACAAGATTTCTGGTCAACTCGAAATAAATTGTGGTAACTACAATCGGAATTTTCTGTTCATATTTCACCGCAGAAATTTGGTTAATCCAACCGTGTCTTTCACATCAATTGAAATTTTGGCCCTATATTAAATCTTGAATTTTACAACGCAGTAGGAGCTAAGTTAATAAAGTAGGTTTAATTATAATGATACAATTTACTCCTACTTTGACTCTAATAATGTCCGAAATATTCACTTTCTTTAGCATCAGGTGTCGAATGGAATAGTAAGTCTGAAAATAAGGTCAAAATTGACTCGGGTTTTGAACCAAAGTACACGGCTAAATATCCCCTAAATTTCTCGCAGTAAAATTTCCCTTAAGGAGCAGAATGATTACCGAGTCGAATTTTTCACTCACACACATGGAACGAATTCTCCGCTCTGAATCGTCGATTTAGAGTGTCGTGGAGAGCCAAATCGTCGAATGAGTGTTTTCATTCGGAATTGAAGAGCAAATGCGACGTACTCCATCGTAATAGGGACATCTTCACGTCCAAACGATTGAAACATTCGCTCGTATGGAGTCGGAAAGCACTTTAAACTCGGCTAAAGTATTCGCTCTTGCAATTTCGAGCGGCATTGTTTTTACTGCGGCTTCGAGCGAAAATATCGCCGCTTTCCATTCGAGTGAAATTCCACTCGAGGAAATTTAGAGAATAACCGCTGGATGGATGCGCCTGGCGTGTGTCTGCCGGACTTTTATTTTCCGAACGATTCACATTTCGCTTCCCGCGACACGTCCTCGCGATAACGTATTGCGGACTACCGAGCCGCAAATTTCTATCGAACCGCCGCATAGCCGCGCGCTGTAACGGACGAAACGGACGTCGGACAGGTGTCTTACCGTTACGAGAAAATGTAACGGTAAGACACCTGCCCGCGATTGTGCGATTGCTTCGATCAATTCAGTTTTCAAAAACACGCGACGCTCCTTTCACAAGCCGTCAAACAAGCGCCGTTCGATCGACAAGTTTCCCGTGTTGAAATTTTGACTCTACCTTATTCTATTCTATTGAGTTGACCAGAAATCTTGTTTAACCGAACAGAATCCTGGTAACTTCAACCGGAGTTTCTGGTTTATTTATATTTTACCCGAAACTTGCTGAATCT